AGTGCCGTTACAAATCAAAAGGTATTTATGATCATATCTGGTTCACTCGGACGGCAAATAATAGCAGATATTGAAGCATGGCCACAACTGGAGTCAGTCTATGTATTCTGTCGCAACCAAGCAGCTCATGAACAATGGGCCAATAAAGTACCAAAGGTTAAAGGTGTATACACAAAAATCAAACCAATTTGTCAAGCACTTGAAATCGATCGTGAAAATTGTGATCGAGCAATGATCTCGATCAGCTTTAATGGTCGTGATGCCTTATTTATGTATACGCAATTATTAAAAGAAGCACTTTTGGAAATTGAAGATGACGATGTCAAATCAATTAAAGATCTCGTAGAGTACTGTCGTCTTCAAGATGATGTTGATGAAGATGAAATAAAAAAAGTGCAGCGAGAATACCGAAATCATACATCAATTTGGTGGTATACGGCTCCTTATTTCATGTACTCAATGCTCAATCGTGGGCTCCGAGAAATGGATGTCGATATTATCCTGAAGATGGGCTTTTTCATCCGACATCTACATCAGCATATTACCGAACTACATCGCGAACAACAAGGAAACATGCCAACAAATTTTCAAGTCTTCCGTGGACAAGGTTTGTCCATTGAAGACTTTGAAAAAATGAAAAAAACCAAAGGAGGACTTATGTCCTTCAACAATTTTCTGTCGACAAGTCGCAATCGTGAGATATCTTTCAAAAACTTTGCACGACCAGCTACAAGCAATCCTAATTCAGTTGGCATCCTTTTCATTATGAACATTGACACGGCTATTTGTACAAAATCATCGACATCATTTGCTGAAGTAAGCAAAGTTGGTTACTACAAAGATAAGGAGGAAGAAATACTATTTTCAACACATGCGATTTTTCGTATCGATCGCATTGAACGAATTCACGATAATCACTGCGATCGGCTATACGAAGTCACTCTCACTATTGTGGGTAATGACAATCACGAATTAAACACACTTACAGCACACATACGTAAGGAACTTGGTGGTGACAGAGGATGGTCTCGACTTGGATACATACTTATTAAATTGGGTGAACCTGCAAAAGCTGAACAACTCTATCAAATTCTCCTCGCAAAGGCGTTTTCTGATCAGGGTCGAGCAAAATACAATGATCAACTTGCCTGGGTCTATAATAACATGGGTGAGTACTTAAAATCAGTCTTATTCCTCGAACAAGCATTTGATATCAAGAAGAAAACTCTCCCTCCGAATCATCCCGACTTGGCTTCTTCCTACCTCAACATCGGTTCCGTGTATTATAGCATGGGCGAGTACTCAAAAGCACTTTCATCGTATGAACGATCACTTGAAATCCGTAAAATAGCTCTCCCTCCGAATCATCCCGACTTGGCTGCTTCCTACCTCGGCATCGGTTCGGTGTATTATAGCATGGGCGAGTACTCAAAAGCACTTTCATCGTATGAACGATCACTTGAAATCCGAAAAATAGCTCTCCCTCCGAATCATCCCGACTTCGCTCAATCTTACAACAACATCGGCTTGGTGTATGATAAAATGGGCGAGTACTCAAAAGCACTTCTATCGTATGAACGATCACTTGAAATCAAGAAAATAGCTCTCCCTCCGAATCATCCCGACTTGGCTGCTTCCTACAACAACATCGGGTTGGTGTATAATAACATGGGCGAGTACTCGAAAGCACTTTCATATTATGAAAAAGCTCAAGAAATTTGGAAAAAATCACTTCCTCAAAATCATCCACATATTGCTCTAGTGAAAAGAAACATTGCAATTGTAAAAACGAAAATGTAATTGTTTTTTTTTCGTTTTAAAAGAGTAAATAAATTCCCCTTCTTGAACCCAAGGCTCGCCGAAGCAAGCAGCTGCAAAATTTCGCGCACGCGCGACCAGAGATACCCTCCGTATTCTGCTGGCTCGTACAGTGGACAAAGCCGGCAATGGTTAGGCAAACATACATCGATGTACGTATAAATAGTACGACCATGATCATCATCTTGGAAAAGACGATGACGAAATGGACGCTTCTATTCATACATACATTGATGTATGTTGTGAAGGCCTACCATCTGCACGTCTCCACGGGTCACCAACAGAACGTCGGATATCCCTGGGAAGGTTCAATTGTTTTAGAGCCACCCTCAAAAGCTCCATTAGTTAGAAAATTATTTTTGTTCTTCTGTTAGGAAGAACGAGAAGAAGTAGAAACGGAAAGACGCGATAAAAGACGACGCACGGAATGAGAATACGCAGCGCATGATAACAACCGGTGTTTCAAGCAATGGAATATTGAGTGCACGATATCTTTGTCGTCTTTAAACATTTCATGTTCAATTCGTGCGTGTTTTCATCTCGAATGTGTAAGAATAACTTGAATGTCGTGCACTCACCATTGAAGCAAACGAACGATGATTGTATGAAACGGTGAATAAAAACAATACATTCGCCGTCAATTTGAGTAATAACTCATGCACTGCATATTCTGAAATAGAGATAAAGAATAGAAAAAAAGGAAAGGTTATGTTAACATTGATGGTCAAAAACAACTTGAGTCTTTCGGAAGATACTTATCAGGCTTGCTGTTTTTAAATGTGCATTAATATTAATATGCCATAAAAAAATAAAAAGTATAAATATTTTTCTTTATATTTTCATGAAACAATTCTTAAATTATTTAAACTTTAAAAAAAAATTTTATTAGATAAGGAAAATCTAATTAACAAATTTCATAGATATTTTATGTGAATAATTGAATATCTATTTGAAAAAAAATTTGCTCTTTAACGTCAACAAACTTATAATCAAAAAATTTTTTTTATTGAAATGATTAGTAATTTGATATTGTTGCTACTTCTTTTTAGGATTATGAAATCATTTTTCACATCTTATTTCGATTAACATTAACATACTTTTTTTTGAAGGTTACAATTGAAGATTACGAATATTATTTTGATCAATTTTAATTTTTAATAGTTATTTATTATATTCACAATAAGATCTTAATTTCAGTTCTAAAATATTAAAAAAATTAAATGATCATATGGGTAATTTATGAAAAAGCTTTCATTTTATCTTTAAATATTATCTTGGGATGATATTAATATCAATGTTAATCGATGTGATACTTCAATTTTAATATATTTTATTCGATAAGTTTTTTATTTAGGTTTAACAACTTGACCAACACTTTGCTTGTATTTTGATTGATTTTTATAAAATAAAACATTAAAAATCATTGTCTGTTTATAAAATTTGAAGGTTAATAATTAAACATAATTTTATTCTCTATCACACCAACACCCTGTAAAATTCATGCTTGACTTCTGATGACCTTAATCAACGATATGGTTTACGTTTTTGAGTTAAACCTAATAGCTAATTTCTGGCCAAGAAAAAGAAGACATTTCTGTATTTTCAATAACTCATCTGACACTTTGTAGTGTAAGATGATTTCTAAAACAAATCGTTTTCGTAAAACATTCAAAAAAAAAACCTAAAGATGTTCCACTTTGATGTAAGTTCAATTTTTGACATCTGCTTCAGTTTCACAGTTCTAGGTACGTTTCAGATGATTGACTTCTCACAATTTTTTCATTATTAAAATTTACTTGAGATTAAATAACTTTTTCATCTATGTTCTTGAATTTTTTGCAAGGAGTATAGATTTCAAAATAATTGTCTCTTTAATAGTATCAGATGAAAAGATTTCTAATAGAGTTGTCTTAGTTTAATTGTTGTGAAAGGCACAAGCAACACTGGCTATTGCTGTTATCAAGTTATTGAGATTACACTGAAAAGTTAGATTCTTCAACGATGATAGTAATATAAGCTATTTTTTGCCAAGTAAACGACAGAAAATTGATAAAATGATTTTCTTTTCGTTGAATAAATTCCAACTTTTTACATAACTTCAACAGAGAAATAATATGATACTATCTTCTAGATTAAAAATTAAATTATTTATTTTGTATCTGTTTCAGTCAGATAAACCTAAATTGAAATAACGACATTGATTTTTTTATGACGATTTATATACAGTATCTAGAAACGTATCTGACAAAACTTAAACCTTATGTTCTTTGAAGTTTTATTTGTTTTTGTTTGCGTGTCTGATAAAAAAAATTTCGTATGTCAAGAATATAAAATATCCTTGAAAAATAGGTGACAAACGAAAGAAAAAAAGAATGTATGCTTTTGTTTTGTTCTTCAATAAGCACATTTTTTTGTTGTCTTGATGACAGTTTTTTTCAATTTTTTTTCTTTCTTTTCATGTTGTGGCGTTCTGTTTTTAAAATCTCTTCTCGAAAACGAATTTGCTTGAATTATGACATTCTAAAAGAACGAAAGACAAAACGAAAAAAAAAATTTTCTATCAGTAAATGAACTAATACAACGAATAAATTCATCATAACTTTGTTTTGTTCCGACTATGGTGAAGATAGTCAGAACAAGTTCAAATATGTGGATAGCTTTTATATAATTGAATATAGATTTAAATTACCATTTTCTTTTTTTTAGATATACTCATGATGATAGCAGATACATGTTTACATCAACATCAATAATGATTCTTTTTGGAAATGGTATTTCAAAAAAACAGAAAATTTTCTTTGCGTCTATAATCGGATCTTGCTTTTGAAATTTTTAAACAACTCTTTCTATTACTATGTTCGCCGTATATATCTATCGATAAATTCCATAAAATAAAAAAAGACAATTTAGCCCCGACAAAAATCGTTCTTGTTCCAAAAATGAGTTTTTAGAATTAGTGATTTTTATTTAACATCGTCTTATATATGATGTATTAAATCTCGTCCTTTTTTTATGAAATACTTCAGACGATAAAAGAAATTTCGGTCGAACCAAAACAAAACAAATCTTCCTTATGTAATAGATTACACTGAGATTGTACTCAAGTTAACATTTAAAATGTAGGAGTTTCATAAATATTAATAGAAACAATCATACAAATTTTTCGGAAACAATATGCATACGAAGCATGATTATTAAATTGAATTTCTTTTACAATCTCAAACCATCAATTGTTGATGAATCTCAATAAGCACACTTTAATTTTAGATAACACACGTTTATCATTAGAATGAATATTCCTTCAAGTATTCAGATAAAACACCATCGATAATGAACCGATAGGTTAATAATTGGAAATAGTTATTATTAGGATATGTACTTTTCAGATTACTTTTATCAATTCCATAATCACTACATGACTATTCTGACAGCACACGGAACTGTTTTTGTTAAGTTATGCATGTTTCAATTATGATAGAGTTGAAGTATTGAAGAAAACACATCGTACGTGAAACAGGACACGCCATATCGTTCGTCTGTACACATATCTATTTGATTAAATTCATTTTTAAAACAATATGTGATCGACGGTTACGTTCATTTCTCTCCTTGTTCAAGTGTAATGTATAAGGACGACTCATATGTCGTGTGCTCGTTACTGAATGGTAGGAAGAAGAAACGTTGTTTTAGAAGATAATTGCTTTCTGTATAAACAGAAAAGAAATACATTAAAATTGAAGGAAAAACGAATGAGTAATAT